TATTGGACTCGAGACAACACGAGTTCAACTTCACAACGAAGGGACGGCTGGTTGTCAACAAACAATTTCCCGATTCCAGAGCCAATTTCAACTTCACGATGGAGGATATTGGACTCGGAACAATGCTACTTACTTGGATTTCAACTTCATGATGAAGGATATCCAATTCTAGGCTCAAATTCACGACGAAGGGGCCACCCGTGGTTTCAACTTCACGACGAAGGGAATCGTGCACACAAGCATCATCCATCTTTAGATTGGATTTCAACTTTACGACGAGTGATATCCAACTCAAAGAAGGATTATCTGTCAACAAAGACCTTCGAGTTCGACTACTCTCAGCTCCAAGGCACATCATTTACAGCATAACTCAAGGTTAGAAGGGTTATCTGCCATCAAAGTTGTCGAGTTCGATTCCATTCAGCTAGAGACACATCAATCGCACTACTTTCCGGTTGCAGTCGAGGTTTCAAGTCGAGAAGAGGACCTGGGTTAGCCGTGCCTGAGTGACAAGCAACCATTTTCAAGCAGCATAGCTTAAGTCAAGAAAAAGCTATTTGTCAATGAAGATTTTTGAGTTCGATTCCGATCCAAGGTCTTTAAACCAAGAAGAAGACCGAATGGCAACGGGAAGCCACGTGCTAATTCAAATTCCGAACTACGGCTTCAATTTCATATCATTTCAAGATGAACTCAACTTCACGATGGCGGAGTCATCCGTAACTCAATTTGACAGGGAGTTATTGAAACATCAGAGTCAATTTTCAACTCCACTGAACGAAAAGTGTGTCTTTTAATCTTTTCCCTATCCCCGTGACACGACTATGGGCAAAGAGGGGCAGCTGTCAACACACCTTTTCGTCCTACTAGGATTCAAACTCCTAAAAATAGGATAGAATTTTGCTATGATTCAAACTCCTAAAAATAGGATAGAGTTATACTATTATTTAAACTCCTAATGATAGGATCCACAAGCATTATAAATAGTCATTGTAACTCACTATTGTAACACATTCGGAGGAGGATATACGAAATACCAAGCAAAAAATTACAAGCAACTCGTAGCCATTTTTCGAAGCATTTATATTTTGAAAGGTAAAGTTCATACCTTCGCATGTTATTTTTCCTTACCCTTGCTGTGTTTTGATTTCGAAAGAAAACTGAGAGAAGTGTTTTTGGCCGATGAACGGGGGCGTTTTCGAGATCTATTTTTGTAGATCTAGTCCCCGAGGATTGTGTTTTTGAAAAACTATTCGGATTTTTATAAACGGGTCGTGTGGATCCGCGTGTTTTATCGTTTTTTCTTCGATTGGCTTTTAATTTTGACCCCTAATTCATTTTTTATTTTAATTTAACCCTTATTATTTATATGTATATATTTAATTATATTTTATTTATTTATTTATTATAATTTTTTTCATTTTTCTTTGCTTTATATTATATTATTTTCCTATTATTATTATATATATATATATATATTATTTTTTATCTATGTTTACTTATTTACTATGTTTTTTTACTATATTTTCCTAACGTTATATATATATATTCTTACTTTATTTTATTTTATATTTCTATGATTACTATTTTTTAGTTAATATTATAACTATATTTATTTTTTATTTTTTATTATTATTACTATTTAGTATTTTATTATATTATACATACATTTTTATATTTTTATATATATTTTTTTATTATTTTATTTATACTATTTATTTATTTTCATTATATTTTTAATTTCTTTGCTCTTATTATTATTTTTCTTTTTTTAAAAAAACACTTTACCTTTTTTATTCTTTTTGTATATATATTTTGTCTTCATTTATTTTATTTTATTCAATTTCATTTTTTTCATCCAATTATTTTATGTTTATTATTATTGGTTTCATTTATTTCCTTGGTTTACTCTTTAGTTTTGTTACTTTCTTTTATTATTATTATTTTCTTTTAAAATCTTATTTTTTAAGGGTATTTCCGTAAACTCATTAAGGGTAAGTAATTAGATCAAATTTTACCTTTTAATTTAACTTGCAATTTTCTTAATAAAAGACAACTGGAAATTACGTAGTACCGAAAGGACGGTTCAAGGGTGCTAATCCTTCCTTGACCGTAACCGACTCCTGAACCTGACACATCTTTGGAAAGACACAGATCAGGTAAGAAATAGGGTATCTGATCAACCCATTTGTTTTAAATAAATGATCGGTGGGGACTCCAATCCACATTTTTCAAGTCGAAGCCCAATTCCGGGACCCAACCGAAAGACGGTTGCGACACATAGGATATATGAGCCCCCAAAACTACTTGCTAGGTTTGACACGGGGAATAAATTCTCATGCAGACGTCGCTTTCACTCCCTCATAAAACGGAAAAGAGCTCAAGCATAGAGCTTATGTTTATGCAATGCACGTGTTGTGTGTGAGGAGAAATTCTCAAACCTTTGACAAACAACCATTTTAAACAAATGAATCCTAATATCTAAAAATCAATAAAAACATTAATATATAAAAATAATAAAGAAAAAAAATAAAGAATAAAGAATTGAAAGAAATCAAAAGAATCATAAATTAAATAAATCTGAATTCTTAATTTTTAATTATAGAGACAATATATAATTGATTTAGAGCTTGACCAACTTTATCTCCAATGGAGTCGCCAAGCTGTTGTAACTGGTTTTCGCCCGGGCACAAATTTCCTTGGCGGAAAAGCATTTGAATGAATAAATGACTATTTTTAAGGAAATATTTTGGAGTCACCATCGACCTTTTTGGGTTAGGTAGGTCGAATACCTAAAAATCATCTTTTAAAAGAGTTTTTAAGAAAACATCATTTAAAAGATAAATCAGTCACCGTATAACCAAAAATTCATTCTTTTTAGTGATAAAAAGGGATTTTTGGTCGGTTACGTTTGGGGAAGGATTACCACCCCACAACGCCCAAAATTGGTACCCGTCGATTACAAATTGTCTCTAGTAGTGGAAGTCTAAGAATTCAAATATGAATTTATTTTATTATCCTATTATTCTAAATTCAATCACATAATTTTATTCAAAGGAAATTCTAAGGAAAAATATAAAATATTCCAATATTTCCAATCGAAGAGAAAATAATCCCTAAAATACTTTAGGACAAATATTTCTCTTTCCAACTGAAATAATAAGAATAAGATAATTCCTCTCTGAGAATTTTAGATTGAAATATCTTGATTCGACTAAATAGGCATATTTGATTTTTCAGGTTTTATAAATAGAGTATTTATTTATTTAAAATATCAGAATATGACATCTAGTTACTTTAAGACAATCATTTCTTAATATTTAAAAATAAATAAATATTATCCTTTAATCCAACTTATGAAACCAGTCAAGTTATACTTATGAGTCTTTCATATATATATTCATAGGACTAAAATGAAATGAACATAAAATAAAATGCACTAATCAAAGGACTAAAATTAAAGTATTGAAAAATGTAAATCAAAAATAAAAAAATAAAGTAATGAAATTAAAGAACTGAAATTAAATAAATAAAAAGTAAATGACATAAATTAAAATATAAAGTAAATGACTAAAATAAAATATATCAGAAGATTAAAAGATATAATTAAATGACTAAAATATAATAAAGTAAAGCATAAAGATCAAAATAAAAAAATAACATTGATTAGCTTATAAATAAAAATAGTGACCAAAATAAAAGAAAATAAAAATATAGCAGCTAATTTTGGAATAATAAAAAAAGAGAAATTATGGGACTAAAGTGTAAATATACACATAAATTAGAGGGATTATTTCGTGATTTCCCTATTTTAAGTGACTAAAATATAAAAACTCATTAAAGGTCTTGGGACCTTAGCGTGATTTAACCCTAAAACTGAATTAAACTCTTTAGTGACAAATATGCGAAAATGCAACATAGATTGGAGGATTGAAGTGTAGTTTTCCTCTAAAAACAGATACTAGAATACAAATATACAATACATATATTTCTTCATATTTTTCCATATTTGATATACATATATCATACAAAGTCAAGAGACTTGACTCAAACCTAAAAATTAATCCACTAATTACTAATAATTTTGAGATATTCGAGTTGTATTTTACAACTCGATTTTAACTTGAATTTTTTTTAAGTTGAGTTTATGAAATTACAACTCAAAGTCAATTTGTATCAAATTTTTTGAATCAATTCAAGTCGAATTTTTTTTTTCAAATCAAATTGAGTATTATTCACTAATAGTTGGTTAATCTAACTTTTAAATCCTAAACCCAACATAATCACTTATTGTTATGGACCCAAAATGAACTAAATGTTGTTGATTATGTTGGGTTAATTGGTAGGAAAATTTAATATTTAGGGTTATATTTTGAGGTTTAAGGTTGTTACTTTGAGTTTAGTTTGTTATGGTAGATTTTAAGAATATATTATGAATTTGGGGTTGGGCATGTAATTGAATTATTTTTGGAATTTGAGGTTTAGAATGTAATTAAATTATTTTAGAATTTGGGGTTTAGAATGTAATTGATGATTGTGTTGCAAGTTTTAAAAGTTTGGGGACCTAAATGCAAGCGCATGAAAAGTTCAGTGACCATTTATATAATTTACCCTAACGGCATGGAAACGACCATTGCGTTGGGGACCATATTGCAAATGAACTAAATGTTTGGTGACTGTATTGCAAGTTTTAAAAGTTGAGAGACCTAAATGCAAGCATCTGAAAAGTTCAATGACCATTTATTTACTTTACCCTTATTTTTTATTAAAAAATCTAGTTTCACTTCTTTAGAATTTATAAGTTGATTAATTCCTAAAAATTTAGAATTTTACTCCTTATCATAAAATTATGCATCTAAATTTTGTAATATTAGTACATAATCATCCCCTTGCCTTTTTTTTTAAAAAAAAATAAACTTTGATTGTTTCCAAAATAATAGTCCAATAAGCCTATATTATTAAAAAAAATGAAAAAAGTGTAGGAAGTGGCCTATGGGATAAATAAATGGTGTAGACCCGGGTGAAAAAGGAAGCGACCCTCCATTAAAATAAGCGACGATCATCTCTAGTTTCCCTCAATCACGCTTTCAAGTTTTCGAATTGAGGAGCACACCGGGAAAAATGGTAAACTTCACCTTCTTTATTTGTTTTTCTTCCAAACTTTAGAACTGATAATCTTCCCGCCTATCATTTGCTTCAATTCTTTCAATTGCCCAGAAATGGTGAGATCCGAAGTCGTATCACGATTTCACAAAGTATTTGCAGCAAAAAGCGTTTTTTCGACTTTGTTTAGATCTTCTATCTCTATTGACCTTCTGAATCTGTAATGGGTTTTTACAATGATGCTCTTGTGCTTCAACTTTTAAACACATTAGTGGAAATTTTTGTATTAAAATTGATTTTGATTGCAATCTGGGTTTGGTTTAATTTTCTGGGCCTATTTGTGGATGTTAGTACAGTTTTTAAGACATTTATTAAGGTTTTACTTGTTTTAGGACCCCAAACTTTTTTATCCAATGTCATACAATTATTTTTGTTTTATTGATATTTTTCATAATTCCTGTTAAATTCTAAAGAGGAAAATGATTTTTTTAAGTTCATTTGAGGATTATGGTTTCAAGGTATTCAATGATTTGTTTTAAATCTGAATTAGGAGTTAGCTTTGTGTAACATGCCGTATGCTAACGCTGTGTGGTATGGCTGACCGGTATGCATTTCCGCAGGATGGGCAAAATTCGGACGAGTCAAAGCAAAACACCGGTGATATGTCTATTTTTGTGAGTTCCTCAACCCTGTTGTGTAACATGTAATAATAATTGCTTCTAGTGTATGCTGTTTTTTTTTTTTTGCAACATGCTAGTGTATGCTGGTTTGCTAGCATAACTGTTGCTAATATCCATATACTCTCGACTTCTTGATAGATCCTACTCAATTAGAAAAAATTAGCAATTATTTACTGTGGTTGTTGAATGTTGAGGTGCATTTCTTTTTCTTATAAGTATTTATTTATCAATTTCTTTGACTGTACTTTTTGTAGGTGCAAAATCTTCTTCAACAAATGGTGAGTTATAATTAGACCCTTAGTAGCTTGAAATATCTCAGCTATTGACAAATATTTTTTTTACAGCAAACCAGGTTTCAAACAATGTCTGATTCCATTATCACAAAGAATATCCTTTTCATTTATTTTTGAATTCATCTGAACATGATCTTTTATGAGATAGAAATTGTCATGTATGTACCATGCGATGTGTCATTGAGTTGCTTCATTTACGTGAATGATCATTTCTAAGAAAAAATTGTCTGTTTTTGTTAATTTAGCTTTTCCATTGCATTGTTATATGAGTATGTTGAATTGTCTGGAGTATATTACTTTAGCATCGTATTTGTCAACTTAATGGAAAATATTGGACTGCGAGGCTAAGCTTCATAAACATTGTTTTGAACCTTTTATCTAATGAATGTTTTGCCAGGCAGATATGAAAACGTTTGAATCTTTGTTCTTTGAAGTATTTTAGCCTTAAGTGAAATGGAAATATTTAATTAGTTACTTTAGTATTACTGTGAATTTCGTGACATCTATTGTTTACTTAACTTCAAAGCACTTGATGAAATGGGAGACCGTATAAATGAGCTAGAGAACAGCATCAATGACCTAAAAGCAGAGATGGGAGCAGAGGGTTCTCCTTCCCCTTTTGCCCCATCAAAGCAAAAGTCAGAATCAGCAAAACAAGAGGATGGCTCAGCATAAAACTTGTTCAAAGATTGTATTTAGCAGTTGATTGTGATTGTAATTCGGCTATATCTTGTTTTGTTTCAGACTGGCAAGAGAGCAGGACATTGCCATGTGTCTCTCTTTTCCAGATTTTTTTTTACATGTACAAAGTTTTTCTTCTATGCACTGGGTCGTTTGACAATTTACAGAGGGAAAGTGATGAATATGCAGTAGTTTCTGTGTTAAGCTAGGTGCAATTTATGTTTGTTCATTAAACTTAATCCTTGGACAATCCCAAACCTATCAGATTTTATTACCTTTGAAATGCTACATGAAATTAAAAAATAGGCATGTTAAAAGTTGAAGGTTTGAAAAGGGTGTTAGTAAATAGCAGAAGCAACCAACAATTTCACCCGGCATTAAATACTAATAGCTTTTAATAGCTTTCGTTAGTATCCCAAGTTTTTACTGGTTTCTGCATATCGAGGACTTTGGGCCAGGCTGGTATCGATGTAATGTTATCGTTCAAGACGTGCAGGACCTTGGTCAAGCTGCATATGGATGACCTTTGATTACTTTGAGAATACGTAAAAAGTTATTTAACCGATGTCGGAACAAGTAATATAATTTTCAAGAGTAAAGACCAGAGTTCCTAATGGGACAATGTAGGCATAATATTTGTAAGATCAGCTTGACCTATCGAACAGATTGTAGAGAGGGTCACACTGCACACCAACATGCGGCCATGATTATAAACCTCTCATTATTTATTGCATACAAACAGATTACGATTGCATCCCAACTCTTCACATCTACTGTTTCTGCTTATCGAGGACCTTGGACCAAGCAGGCCTTGCCATGATATCAGCCACCCAAGCACTAACATGTGGGCGTGAATCAAAAAGCTTCTTAGCCGAGCTCCCCATCAAGTAGTGAACATTTGGCAGGTGATGCAGATCCGCCAAGGTAAAGTGGTCACAAGCCAAGTACTTGGACTGAGCCAAACGAGCCTCGTAGACATCTAAAACTTTGGCAAGCTCAGCTTCACTTTCCTCGACAACTGCAGTGTCGGTAGCCATCCCGAAAAAGGGCTTGTAATGCAGCTCAAAGACTAACTTAGTTGATGGAGGGTTGAAGCGGTGAGCTTCTACTTCTTTCCACAATTGAAGAACTGCCATAGTCTTGTTAGAGCCTGGCAACAACAGTTGAGTCCCCTTGTCGTTGTATTCTTGGACGATGTATTCAGTGATTGCCCTAGATTCTGCATGTTAAAAAAGAGTCAGCTAAATAGCAAAAGGAACAAACAGGTCTTTTTTGGGTGTTATGGAAAATTACCAAAGAGCTTCAAGTCCCCTTCTTCAAAAGCTGGAACTTGACCGAACGGCTGCTTCAACCGAGCAGGTGAGAAACATTAGATCATAAATGGGTTTAGTGAAAATGATAAATCTTTGATTGATACTTACGTTGAGGAGAAGGAAGTTTTCGGATTTATGTTCGCCAGCTGCCATGTCGACATTAACAAACTGGAACTCAATATCTTTCTCGTAAAGGAAAGCGAGAACCCTCTGAGTTGATGTTGAAAAAGAGTTTCCGTGCACCTTCATGACTGACATTGTTGTTCGATGGACTACAACTTCAAAAGATGACAAATATTTGTGGGTACTTTTTTCTGAGAAAGAAGCAGTATGCATATATAGGTGGAAGGATGAACCTTTCTGTCGTTCTAGAATGTTCCAATTCAAAAGATTACCCGGGCCAGGGGCATGCACGTTCATCTTCCTGTTCACGCCTTCCATGTGATCCAAAATGTAACGTATTTTCATGTGAAAAAATGGATTTCTTACCTAAATATAATGTTTTTAATTAATTGCCATATTAACATACATCACTAAATATTTATTAAAATATCATTTATTTGTATAGGTAAGATAGAGATCACCATGGTGAGTTGTAAAACAGGATATGCTGAGTTGAGTTAAATGACACGAATAAAGTATTTTTGTGGTTAAAAGGATGATTATTATCTCTAGAGATCCCGAGTTCGACCACTAAAGACTACATCGTATTTAAATATTCATTATCAAATGATTATGAGTCTTTAAAACATATATTATCACTTGTAATCACCCTAAATCAACAAAAAAAATATAGTATACCTTAAGTTTTTTTTAATAAAAAACCACATGCAAAAGAGAACAATTTCCATTAATATTAAAAAGAATACAAGAGAAATTCTCACGAGTAATTTTACTTCCAACGTTAATCCTTAGTATTTATTTATAAATATAATTACAAGTGAATTTTTTAAGAGAAATATACTAAAAGTAGGCTTTCTATTATTAATTAACATTAAATAGCATAGACTTCCTAATTTAAATGAAATTAGGTTTCTTACTTTCTCTTATCAGATTGAGGCAAATTGAATTCAAATCAAACTTTAACAATCTCCACCCTAACATGAATTCTTTAAGTATAAGGAGTTCGAGGCAAAAAACCAAAATCGACCAACAAAGATTAATTCTTCACATCAATGAATAAGTTATCCACCTCGAGAACATATTCTTCACTTCTTCCACAAAACCGAGTATTTTCTACAACGACTTCCAATCAAATTAAAGTCTTTCCTAATCATAGATTTAACATTCATAGCAACAATGTCATCATTAGTGTCAACTTTACTCAGAACTATATCACCACTAGAAATATCATGCTAAACACAATCTAGATCATTAATGATAAATTCTATTTTTTCGTTGTTAATCCATGTACTGAATTGAACTTTCTTTTTCTTCTCAAATTCGTAATGTTCACGAATTGAGTTTTGTTCTACTTCTCAAAACTGTTATACTCACAATTGTCTTGTTCAACACAAAATTTTTCTTTGTTTGATTCAGTCGAAACATATTTACCAATAAAGTCATCATCTAACAAGGAGAAAATAACAAATTTATCTCTCAAAATTGTTAAACCCTGCAAAATATAAAACTTGACGGTATTTCTTAGTTCATTCACCACAATAGGAGAATCTTTGTAAATTTTGATAGTTTCACCTTCACTGAAGCATATATACCTTTTTTAATATAGAGTACATAATGAAATTAGATTTCTTCTTAAATCTGTCATAGTATGAATATGGTGTTATGATCTAATAACGAAATTTTATATTTCAGTGTTACCATTACTGTGATCAAGACAAGCAATTTAGATGCTTTGATATGAATTTGTTAGAACATAATGACAAAAAATTGACACCAAGAATACTCAAATCCCCAACAAGACATCACATTTATTAGTTTCATAACACAATAAAGGATTAGAAATACACTACCTTAGCTTAGGAATCCCAAATGAAGCTCCTTTGTTCAACTACTCTTGTTTTTCTCTTCTCCATTTGAATTTGAACACTCCAAACACATTCGAACACTCCAAACACATTTTCTCTTACAAAATATGAAACCCAAATCTTGAATCCTTAAAAGAATGTTGATGGAAGGATTATGGTTGAATTTCAAGTTTGAGAAAAGCTTAAAAAATTACCTTTGAGCTATGGAACTTGGAGAGGAAGAAGGAGAGGGAAAATGATGAAATGAAGAGATGAATGAGATGAAAAAGATAAAAGCTTTCATCTTTTTAAAAATAGGATAATTGAACTATAGGCCATTCCTCATATTTGTATAATTCAAAAACTTCTTTTTTGGCTAATTGGCTCAAATCCAACTCAATTAAGCCCACACTCGGCCCAACAACTCTAATTATGTCCTCAAAACCCACATACCTCTTAGGTAAACCCAAACCTAGTAGCCCAGAATTTTAGGTTTTAAAATTCTCCCTTCCTTGAAAGAAATTTTGTCCTCAAAATTTAATTGGATCTTGGGTCAAACACTTAGAACCCTTGAAGCACCTAAAATCTTATCACGCCTAATCTTTCAGGAAGAAGTCCTTGCAACACAATATGGAATTTTGAACTCGCAAATTTGAGCTATGATTTTCTAAAGGATGCTACCTGTGTCGAACCTTAACCAACCTTTGAGAATCACAAACACCCTTGAGTCTTACTCTGATCATCCTAACATTGAATACTTAGAATTTTTCATATTTCAATTGTTATTTCTAGGCCTTCACTGGGTAACTTTACTCAACAGAGTTCATTTACTACATAACCCTATAGTCTCTCTTACCTGCTGAACATAGATAACTTGTCATACTACACGTTAAGATCCTACTTTCACTTGGACGGGGATTCGATATTTTCTGAATCCTTGTACACTGTCTCGATGCTGACTATCATCGACATTTAGTCTTTTGCTTTGCAACTCGAATTCAATACACATCTATGCTACTTGATTGTTCCTCGTTGGCCTTTCGATTGGCACATGCTTTACTCAGTGGATCGTGCATCTAAGGTATTCACAACTGAAAATCGACCACTTGATTAGTGAAACTAGCAACATTTAGCTCTCCTAGAGAGTAAACCTCACAAAGCGGAGATCTCAGGCAACCACACTCTGACTAAAGGATTCTGAGACTCTATGCCTTGCACTCACTAATATTTACCACCATTGAGCTATCTGATGACGACTAACACCAGTTAATCGACCCTTAAGGTACTTAATCTCCTTTAGTCTCAGGCATTAAAATACATGATATTATACAATGCTGCAAACTCTTATGTGTTGTATATAGCTAATGCTCATATATCAACGAAAAGATAACAAGGATAAAGTTTGGGGTTGAAACTCAAACTCTCACTTAATCACACAAGCAAACTTTACGATGTAGTCTGGAGTCACACATCATCACAGTTCTTACACCTTACAAGTCTACTAAAGAAGTTACCTTAGATGAGACATAAACACACTCACGTTAGGAACGTCTAGATACGCTCTTATGGAACCACTTGGGTGAAAACTTTTACCAACAAATGTCTCATTAGAGTAAACCATTGACTCAATAAGAAACGATCAAGAGTACTCTGCACCCGAGACTCAAAACTCACTATCTTAACCATAATATCCTTAGAACATAAGGTGAGATCCGACACTACTACATAGAATCATAAACCTAGCTAACTTACTCTTCACGAGTACAAGGAGTGTCTATGCCTAGTTAGCAACTAAAGTGCCACTAGCTGAGTTAAATCCTAATATTATCCAATAACAAGATGACCATTATACTATTTAGGGTGACTTGGGTATTCTTAACATTCTTATGGATAACACCTCCAAGGTTGATCTTAATCTTTATGGGATCAATAATCGCATGTAAATGTGTGTTGTGGTATGTAAATATGTGCAAGTATACACAATCGATGCAAGTAATATAATAGTGAGTGAGTATCATCTCCACATGGATTGGAGGGCTTTTAAAATATTGTTACAGCTAGGAATCTAACTAATCCTAAGTATCTAATTCTAATTATATAAACAATGAAAGTATGCAGTAGTAAATGGTATGAACAGATGGAAAAAGTTTGGCCGAGGTAAGAAAAATTTTAAAGTGAAGTGAGCATAAAAGTTTTATCGTGGCAAGAAAAAATGCAAAGGTAAACAAATAAAAATTGTCAAGGCTAAAGTTGTCAAAACTTTATAAATAGACTGACAACCTCACACAATCATACTTCTAAAGGAGCACTTGGGTTGGATTTTCTACGGCGAGAAATTAGTCTATGGCTAGGATGATCTAGTATGATATGCCTATACTACCCGACAGGATTTACTAAAGTATTCAAGGACTTTTATTATAACAATACTACTCGGCGTGAACTAAAACCCTTGATATGTCAAATTATTGATGAAGCAATACCCCTCAGTTAAACTGTAGCTTTTCGCCTATCTTACTCAAATATTTACCCTTTTTAGTCGAATAAACCCCTCTCCTTATCTCTGAGGTAGATTAGAACCTCCCAATCCTGAATTAATTTCCTTGTTCATGTAGATGTAACCTAACTCTATCGATATTTGGTATAAACTCCTAGAAAAATTACAATCCCTCAAAAGCTCTTACAAAGACTAGAAATGTTTTATCGTGGCACCAGGTAATCTCTCAAAAGATCTTACAATGTTAAAGAAAAAGATTAAAACAGTGAATAAAACAACATTTAACAAAAACATACTTAATCATTCATTAACGGTCAAATAAATTATCATCCATGCATTTCCAACACCAAATAAAATAATTGATGATGCGGCTAACATTATCCCAAAATCAATTTTTAAGTACAAGCCCTTAAAAGATAAGAAAATGAAGAATAAGAGGAAGAAAAACACCCAGAGCAGAGTTTTGCCGTGACATCAGACCACCACCATGAATCTTCTAGTGCACCAACCTCTCTCGAGGGCTTGGTCGCTGCTCCGGCGAAGCCTGGCTATAGAGGGCATCAAGGACAGATAAGTGAGGAACGATGAAAAAAAGACGACGCGGTTGTCTTTTTCCAAGCCTAGGGTATTTTCTTTATATGATTCTAAACATTTTATGAAGAGTTATAATGGGGTATTTATAGTGGGAGTTTCTAGGGTTTAGTTCTCTTGGAAATTCCCTAAATACCCTTGAAGTTAAACCCTTTTTGTGAATAACATAACAACTGGTAGTGGTGAAATTCCTTGATGAGGGCATGATTGCACATGCGGTGAATAGGCCACCTGGCCA